AGTTACTTATATGAATGAGTGGTTTATCGTAAGCATGAATAAAAATAGTCTATAATACAACAGATTAAATACAACACAGCAATAATATACACAATGGCCTGAAGAAAATGGGTGTTCATTCAAAGAAGGTTTTCCTATGAATTAATTAGTAGAAAAGTCAGTTTCTCCTGTGCATTTGTGCCTTTCTTATGAGGAAAATGAGGGAGTTTATCCCCTGCATTCCTTTTAGGCCATAAAACCAGTGATATCAGCATTGGTTACCATGGAACCAGAGGCCTGTTCTGCTTTTCTGAGGTGTTAGGTGCATTTCGGGGGAAGGGTCCATAGACCCTCGTAATTGGCCATTTGGTTAGGTGATGGGGAGTTCGATATTATTTGTTAAATATAACAAAAAGTTGTGTGTCTGATTGGTCCAAATGCTACAGCGGTAAATCTCCATTATGTGCGTGCTTTCACATTGAGCAGCATTAACTACACAGAGCCGTTTTTTCACTGATGAGCTGCGCAAAACCACGTTCATATTCGTGCGATTTTTTTGCACAGCTCATCAGTGAACAACGTCTCTGTGTAGTTAATGCTGCTCGGTGTGAAAGCCCGCAGGTGATGGAGATTTACCGCTGATTACAGAACCGGCTTTCTGACAAGATGCGCATTAAATATTGCATGCGATTTATCGTGCAGCCCTATACACCACCTTTCAAAAGTTTGGATTCAGTAAGATTTTTTAAAAGAAATTATATTTTTATTTAGCAAGTTCATTAATCAAAATACTTTTTTTCTTGAGCACCAAATCAGCATGTTAGAATGATTTCTGAAGAATGGTTTGACAATGGCTGCTGAAAGTTCAGTCTTGTCATCACAGTAATCAATTACATTTTAAAATATTTTAGAATAGAATGCAATTAATTTAAATTACAATTATATTTCCCAATATTACTGTTCTTACTGTACTTTTCATCACATAAATGCAGCCTTGATAAGCATAGTCTTCTTTCAAAATTAAAATAAAAAAAATCTTACCACCCCAAACTTTTGAATAGTACTGTGTGCAAACAATAATATAACAAATGCAAATGAAGAAGATTCAACAAATAACTTTAATGAGTGTTTATCTTGTAATAAAACCAGATGGTTCCCACAGTATTTTTAAGTGTGATCATCAGACTTAGAAAAGCCATTTAATTTGATAGTTTGGCTAGAAGTTGCTCTTTGTGAGTGCAGTCTCTTTAAAATGATTTAAATAATTATCCACAAACCATTAAGAAGACATTGAAATTAATTATTCAAAGGTATATCATCCCTACAGCATCAGAATCTGCTTGCAGACTTCTGGTGTTTTCCTAAGTGAAGTTTGAATAACAAAATGTTTTGAATGTGATCAGCAGGGCCATCTTTATCATTCCAGTCAGATGCATCTCTAGTCGGAGCTCAAAGGGGTTTTGTGTGTGTGCGCTTGTTTGTGTGGTGCTGTTCACTCAATGCGCCATCAGATATTGGAAAGAGACTAGTGTTGTGTGCATGTGTGTGTATATGCTTCAGGCTGGGGTAGATTAATGCAGGCTTGAGAACAGAAGATGTGCGAATCTCTGATTGCGATCGGCAGCAGTCTCACAGCCTCGCTAACATCAGTGTGGAAAATGGGTTAGCCTCTCTCCTGCTTCACTGTGTAATTATTCAGTCACTCATGGAGAATAAGGAAGAGAGGGAGAGGGCTAGAGATTAGAAAGATTTACTGAATACATGAGGCAATAAGAGCCACGGATGGAAAAACAAGAATAAAGCTGCAACAGATTCTTGAAACTATGCTAGCTGAAACCGCAGCGCTACAATGGCTGGTGCTGAAGCAAGGGATTGTGGGGTTTGCTGTTTTTGTTGCTGCTGGGCATATCTATCTATCTATCTATCTGTCTGTCTGTCTGTCTGTCTGTCTGTCTGTCTGTAGTTCTATCTATCTCTCTCTGTCTGTCGTTCTACATTCTGCAGTTCTATCTATCTCTCTGTCAGTCTTTCTATCATTCCTTGTTCTTACGATTGTTCTGTTGTTGTCATTCTATCTATCATTTTATCTATTGTTCTGTCATTCATTATAGACTGTCATTCATTATTCATTAAAATTTTTAATCTAGGTTTTGTCAAGCCATCATTGATTGACAGACTTTTGTTTTCTAGTTGAAAATTATTTGTATAGCAGCTTCTTTCTTCCATTTTCATTCTTCTTCCTTAAAATCAAATTCAAATTGCAATTAAATATTCATGAATTTAATTGAAATTTAAAAGCACTCGGGCCCTGGAAAACATTGGTTGCTAAGTGCTCTCTTTGACAGTTTTTACATTTTGACACATAAGAAATGCCTGACCACCTCCTTCAAAGTTAGTTTGAAATCTCATCTCTCCTGTATATGACTGCTTTCTATAATTTTGTCTTTTTTTCCTTTCTCTTTTTCTTACTCTAGGCTATAGTGATGGTTGGGATGTGTGCGCTCAGCTGGGTCAGTGTGAGGCGTACTCCCAGCTTTCTGCCCGTCAGAAGCTGATGGCGTTCGCGCTCACACACTGTCCTCCCAGCAGCATCCAGAATCTGTTAGCGGCTTCCAGTTCCCTTCAAACGCAGGTGCCTTTTTGTCCACTTAGATAATATTGTCCCTCTAACTATTTTATATATGTGTAGTGAGATATGCTTGCTAGTGTCCATGTAGTGTTTTACATGTAGGCCTACAGTGGGGCAAAAAAGTATTTAGTCAGCCACCAATTGTGCAAGTTCTCCCACTTAAAAAGATGAGAGAGGCCTGTAATTTTCATCATAGGTATATCTCAACTATGAGAGACAAAATGAGAAAAAAAATCCAGAAAATCACATTGTAGGATTTTTAAAGAATTAATTGGTAAATTCCTCTGTAAAATAAGAATTTGGTCACCTACAAACAAGCAAGATTTCTGGCTCTCACAGACCTGTAACAACTTCTTTAAGAGACTCCTCTGTCCTCCACTGGTTACCTGTATTAATGGCATCTGTTTGAACTCGTTATCAGTATAAAAGACACCTGTCCACAACCTCAAACAGTCACACTCCAAACTCCACCATGGCCAAGACCAAAGAGCTGTCAAAGGACACCGTAATATTTCCAGTTATTAATAACCAGTAATTGATACTTCAAGTTAAAAGCTAACTCCTGATCTCCACTGCAGTCATAGTTTAAAACCCCAAGATGCCTCATATATTTATAGCTGGAATGCTTTGAATAGTTTTTCTATATAAACATTTGCCAAGTTTCCTGCTCCTTTCTTCTCTAGTTTCTGTGTATAGTCATATGTTGTGTTGGACACAGTATGCATAGACAGACTTAAAACTGAGCTTTTAAGTTTTAGAAATCGCCTCCCAACACACACACTATTACCCACCTTAGCCCTCCTTCCAGCTCAAGTCGCCTCTATATCCCTCTGTATTGACTGCTTTGGTGTCAGGCTGCTTTCAGGACAGAACTAAAGTAGATTTATGTATACCAAGATAAGTTTCCACATTGAAAAACTCAAAAGAAAATCTATTGAGGGATGGAATAGTAATTTAAGTAAGTTTTACTGCCATGCCAAGTATAAATACTGCCAGAACGATTAAACATTTAAGAGCAAAGAGAATTGAAGAGAGAAATGGTATTGTGCTGAAGGGCAGGAATGAAAAAGTCAATGCTTCGCTCTCCTCTCCTGTCTTAGGTTCTGTACCAGGCTGTAAATTACAAGATTGATCCCTCTCAAGCCCAGAGAACAGGCAGCGAGCTGTCCGAGGTAAAGAACAGCGCTTCTGCGTACTTCATGTCAGAGATCTTTATTTAGGAGTGACACTTTGAAGAGCAAATATTTTTTGCCAATAAATATTTGAATAGGCCTGTCACGATAACAACTTTTTGTTGTGCGATATATTGCCTCAGAAATAATTGCGATAAGCGATATTATTGTCATTTTAATGACCATTTTATGCCACTGAATATATAATCATAATGTAACCGCATAATAATGCAAGAAGACCTACACTCTTCCAAATGACAACAAACTTTACATTTTTAAGAATATTTAGATCATGGAAATTAAGTATCAAAATATTAGATGCCTTAAAAAACCTGAATAAATAATAAATAAACATTTTCTGTCTGGAGATTTTTCCATCTACAGATTTTTCCCTGACCTTCGCTTCTCTGTAAATGAAGGGTGCACACTATTGCTGAAAAACACAATCACTACTTAGCAGTCAGATGTCCGTATGCACAAAGGCACAGATCCCTAAACAAGACCATATCTGCAGATTAAACTTTTTTTTTGTAGAAGCATTTAAATTTGAACTAGCACCTCATGACTACACGTTATGTACGAGAAGCTGCAAAAGACACAGGCACAAGTGGAATGTACAAAACATGGTGACATTAATTTTTAAGTAAATATAATGGGCGATATATTGCGTCACCAAAAATTATTGAGGTCATGTACATATATTGCACCGATAAGTCGATATATTGATTATTGCGACATGCCTATTTTTGAATATTGTGTATGACTTCTTTACAACAGTTTTGTGTTACTTTTCCTTAAAAGCTTGTTTGTGCATAGTCAGTGCCTTGGTGTGTCCATGGAATTTTGCTTTTCAACATTAACATTTTGGGTTAAAATTTAAATGGAAAAAAAAAGTATAATACATTAATACATTTATTTTCACCAATTTAAACACCTTTTCCCGTTATCCCTTTACTGGTTAATTTTAATGGTGTGACTAATGAATATATACAGTATCTCACAGAAGTGAGTACATCCCTCACATTTTTGTAAATATTTTATTATATCTTTTCATGTGACAACACGGAAGAAATGACAATTTGCTACAATGTAAAGTAGTGAGTGTACAGCTTGTATAACAGTGTAAATTTGCTGTCCCCTCAAAATAACTCAACACACAGCCATTAATGTCTAAACCGCTGGCCACAAAAGTGAGTACACCCCTAAGTGAAAATGTCCAAATTGGGCCCAAAGTGTCAATATTTTGTGCGCCCACCATTATTTTCCAGCACTGCCTTAACCCTCTTGGGCATGGAGTTCACCAGAGCTTCACAGGTTGCCACTGGAGTCCTCTTCCACTCCTCCATGACGACATCACGGAGTTGGTGGATGTTAGAGACCTTGCGCTCCTCCACCTTCCTATATATATATATATATATATATATATATATATATAATTTTTTCTTATTTTTATGTCATTATTTAATGATACAAATAAATACAAGACTTTTTTATTATTTATAATAACATGCACTGTTAAATCGTTCACAATAGGACCATGAACCTGCAATAAAAAAGTAAAAAGGGTCAATTTGGGCTTCATGCTGTCTGTAAGCTTTCTTTATACATTTTTACATGAGCACCAATGCTTCATTCATGGCTATAAAATAGTAAAATCTTCTTCTGAATCATTACATTATAGTGGGCTTTAAACACAACCTTTGACTGAACACTGAGTTCAATGCCTCAGTAACAGACTCTCTCTGCATTTTTCATACGGTGTAAATATAGCTTCAAAGCTACGTTACTCATAGCAAGCACTGTTTTCACCTCACTATGAGAAAAGACACCATAGACGTGTTTAAAAATTCATGTGCACACAAAAATACATTTGCGTAAATGTGCGTGCGTTGTGTATCTAAATGTGCATTTAAAACGGAATGAAGTAGTGATGAGGTCAAACATGTGGTTTGACTTTGTACACAGTCATAGTGTTTCTGACATTTTTTGAAAAGTTCACCTAGCATCGCGGTAACATGTAAATATCCACATTCGCTTCAGTTTTTGTCATGTTGCTACAGTGAGCAGGCGGTGCTTTGCTCCACTGATGGCAAAGAGCTTTCTCGCTCAGGAGTCAATTTACTTCTCTGTGCCTATACCTTCATTTATAATGCATGTCGAGTTTCGTTCGATGTGATGACTATAGTAGCGCTTTTGTTTGTTTTATAGGATTAAATGGAAATTTCTGTCCCTGCTGGGATTTCCTCCAGTTTCTTTGTGTCTGTATTTTCCCTGCTGGGTAACACTTGCCTTAAGTAAATTAGCATACTTGTCACCTAATTGCAACTTGATAACATTTACAGCCTCTGATGAATGATTTATTAATCACATTTATACAAAGTGTTTGCTTGTAGGCCAACAATTTTGGCCATTTTTGCAATTACCATTTTACCCAAGTTTGCAAGATTGAACTTGTCTGTGCATAAACAGCAAAAAATAAAGGTCCAGACTCCCTATGTTGATTTTGTTGTGTTTAGTAGTTCAATTCTAACACAAACCATTTTTAAATCTATGTCAGATCTTAAAGCCTGATTTGTAGCCTTGTTGACTGTTCTAGCCTTAAAATCAATCAAACACCAACATGAAATCAAAATTGACCCTATTTACTTGCACCTGTGTATTGTCCTGAGTATAATATATATTAAATTGTAAATAAATATAATACTTTCATATTTACATTTAGTTTGAATTCCTGATGTATAAAAATGTATTTGCTGATATGTGGCATTGATATGAACACACACCCACACACACACAAAAAAACTCCAGCCAGCTATGTTGTTTATATTGGGTATTAAATATATACATTTAAAACATAATAATAAATAAATGAAATAATGAAATTAAATGCATCTCTAATAATATATAGTGTAATTTAATAAATATAATAATTATAAATATAATCTTTTTTATACATCAGGAATTCAAATTAAATGTCAATATAAAATGTATTCACTAAATAAAAAAAAAATAAATAAAAAAAACATACTCCAGCCAACCATATTCTTTTGGTTTTATTGTGCATTAAATCACAGCATCATGGTCCTGATTTGTTAGGTCTGTTCCCTTTTATTTATAATACACTTTTCGCAAAAGCTTCTTTTGTTTCACAGCGGTTTTACAAAAAATACTGTCTTAAAACCCCTAGTGAGAAAATCAAACACTGTATGTAGAAAGAAAAAAAAATCCTACTGTATATATGTTGCTTACTGTAGTTCAGCTAGAACCGCTGTAATTTGATCAATACGGCTCGTGTGTAACCTTTCTTGTCTGCCCATAGCAGACCGGAGCTGCTGTTCCTGGATCAATTAACCCCACAGACCTGCTGCACAGAACCACAGCCCGCACTATAGAGGTCCTGACCAACACCACCACGACCACCAGAGCCGTGCTGACCGCCGTCAGCGACTCCCATTGGTGGAGGGAGTCCCTCAGCTTACTTCGCCCACTGCACGTAAGTCACATTTAAATTCAGCCTGAAAGGTTTTGTTCACCACTCTCTGAAGTGTAACCACGTGCCTCGCTCCATTATGCATCACTCCTCTTCAAAACACAACCTCCAGGAACAGGTTGGGCAAAGCTCAACAGTGAGACTCGTCTGCACATTTCTTTTTTCGGCAGATTTTGTTAGGCCATTAAAACCTGGCATGATTGAACGAACTTCTCCCCGGCCGACGTCTGCGTGTGTCTTTGTGAATCGTTTTTTTTTTTTTTAGTTCTTTCTTCTGTGAAATTTGCCTGAGTCCTTCCTGTGAAATAGTCGATGACAAGCTGAAGCTTGTGCATTTCTAATGCCCTTCCATAGTGACTGTCTCTCAAGGAATATGTATACTATATGTATTTAATATGTATATGTAATATCACAGTTTCCACAAAAATATTAAGAAATTTATATATATATAAGCATTGATGATGATAATAGTAATAATAATAAAGATAAAAAATTATTTCTGAAGGATCATGTGACACTGAAGACTGGCGTAATGGCTGCTGAAAATACTTTTTTTTTCCATTGCAGAGATAAATTAAATTTTTCAAAAAATATATAAAAACAGAAAACAGTTATTTTTACTTGTAATAATTCTGTATTTTTTGAGTGAAAAGTGTGTATGGTATATACTGGTATATCAAAAATGATTTAAAAAATGTATTTATTTATTTTTGACCTCATAAATATGTTTTTATATCACTAAGTCAAATATGTGACACAGATCATGTGAACGTTGTACAGACAGTCAAATGATCTATGGAAGACACCCCCCTCCCCCCTTTCTGCTGATAATTTGCCTGAAAAACACATTTTCATAGGTGGACTTTTGAACACAATTTTATTGAATTTCCACTTTCAATGTAAATGTTTGCTTGCAGTATACATTTTTTTTTCACACAATATTGCTGTATTTTCTGTATTTTTGATCAAATAAATCAAATAGATCAAATAAAAATTTCTCAGAAAAATTTAAATATCCTACAGACCCCAAACATTTGATTGTAGATTGTATTTGGGCACAATAATACAAAACAAAATTCTTCTGTATCAGTTTAACAGCTGCTTCTAGGCGATAAAGTATAATTATAACATTCATCTTTGTTAAATTAAAAATTCAGTTGACAGGTATTGGCTTCTGTCATGTAATAGATATTTTAGGTAGAATTTCAAAGCTTTATGCAAAAAATGTCAGAAGAAATAAGCCAAAACCAAAGTGTGATATCCCCTGTTCTCTATTAATTTTTCAGTCCGAGGATGTGTATTCCTCGTACAACTACACCCCTCAAGAAGACTTTGCTGAAGTTTTATTGCGGACAGGCAAACTGGCTGAAACCAACAGCGAGGGACAGAATCTCTTTCCTGCAACTGAAGGTAGTGCTCTTCATATGCAGTATTCAAATATTTGCATTTAAAATCAACTCTAATCACGGTGACTAGTGACCTCACCCGTCCCATTTAAGCGTCCGCCATCAGTCTCACATCACCCTCTTGTTAGCTGCAGTGTCCTTGCTAGGAATACTGTAATCTTTCGCCCCTGGGGCAGATTCTCAGGTATCAGCCGTTCCTCCGCCTGGCCTCGTCTCCCTGATGTATCACCACTCGCTGGCTACATGTCCGGAAGAATAGCATCATATTGATTAATTAATGTGTACTCACCGCAAGCAGACAGCAGTAAATAATGCGCACCCTCCCGATACAAGAGAGATAGCGGCTAGTCAAAATATCAAGGCCTTTTGCGTCAAGATAGATGAGGCGAATGAGAAAATCAATGCGGAGTGATGGGAGGGGTGCAGGAACTTTGGTGGAAGAATGCAAATAGCGATTCTCTCTTTACCTCTTCCTTTTTTTTGCTCTCTTTTAATTCCTTCAGTGTCACTGTCGTTCAGTTGCGCACGGCAGGCATAAAGTCACCTTCGTGTGGGAGAACGTGGGATGAAAGGAAAGTGCTTGTGTCGGGCTGATAACGCTAAATTAATGACCTGCACATTAAAACGTATGCTGAATACACTTCTTCCTATAAGAACAGTCTTTGCTCTTGTTTAGGTATTGCACTCATGTCCTCTCTAATCTCTGTGCTTATGTGCGAAACGCTTAAAGGTTATGAATTAAGGATGCTTCCCGCTGCTGATATGGTCATCACGCTTCTGACTATGCAACAGTATTTATAAATTTATGAATAAATAAAATAAAACTGTTGATTTTTACTTGCACGACGGAATAAATATATCAATAAAATCTATATTTTACATGCTAAAATATTTTTATATTAAAAATATTAATAAATAGAACTATTTATTTTGGTTTATGCTGGATAAAATATCTGAATTAAATGTAATTATTTTTATAAATTAAATTATATTTATTTATAATTATATAAATACATGATAGAAATTGTGTGTGTGTGTGTGTGTGTATATATATATATATATATATATATAGTAAATAAGCTATATATATATACCTGTATATTAGTGCTGTCAATCGATTTAAAAGAAATCTAATTAATCGCACATTTTTCTGAAATTAATCGCGATTAATCCCACCTAACATTAAAGTTTTTAAATATACTTTTATATTGCAATAATTTCACATTCAATCTTCAAATTAATGTACAAACAACATAAAGACAGTATATATTTTTTTAAATATTTGTTTAATGGCATCTTTTTTATGACTGAAGGCCAGTATCAATGATACCAATACTGATTTCTCTATAAAATTCTCTTATAAAAAACAACCTTCACATAAAGCCATTATAATAAATGTCATATTTACCTGTGCCCTTCAGTAGAAATATACAGAAATTGATTCTAAATTAAATATAGCTGAATCCTTAAAGCTATAAAAAGTAATTTTTTTCCTCTTTTTTTTCTCTTTTATGACCCACTTCAGGTCTTAAAGTCTCTATTAATGAGCTGACGAGTTGAATCGGGTGTGTTAGATGAGGGAGACAGTGCTGCTGCTCGTGGACCGTTTTGAAAACCATTTCAGAGACATGTTCTTAAATGAGACTCATATAAAATACAAACCCGATTCCAAAAAAGTTGGGACACTGTACAAATTGTGAGTAAAAAAGGAATGGAATAATTTACAAATCTCATAAACTTATATTTTATTCACAATAGAATATAGATAACATATCAAATGTTGAAAGTGAGACATTTTGAAATGTCATGCCAAATATTGGCTCATTTTGGATTTCATGAGAGCTACACATTCCAAAAAAGGTGGGACAGGTAGCAATAAGAGGCCGGAAAAGTTAAATGTACATATAAGGAACAGCTGGAAGACCAATTTGCAACTTATTAGGTCAATTGACAACATGATTGGGTATAAAAAGAGCCTCTCAGAGTAGCAGTGTTATATATATATATATATACACACAATATGTACTTTTTTAAAATTTAATTGTATATTATTAGGGCTGTCAATCGATTAAAAATGTTAATCTAATTCATTCATTCATTAATTTCATATTAATTGTACATCAAATTTGGCTGAGAAATTGCCCACAAAAGATAGTTTAAAGACATTATTGTGTTACATGAGAAAAGCATGAGAAAGTTTTACATTTTTAGGTGAACAAACCTTTAAGTAGCTTTTATTACTATGGATTTTTTTTTATTTACAGATTTTTTATTAATATGTAAATATGATTTTTTTTTTATGAAATGATACTCTAAATAAAGAAACTAAAACTGCCAGTAGGTGGCTGTAAATGTTTTAATGAATAAGTTATTGAATCATTTGTTCATTCATTCAAATGGCTGGTTCATTTAGGAATGAAGTAAATGGCTTTCTTTATGAGTGGGCCGTTGAATCATTGGTTCACACGATTCGTTCAAAACGGCTTCAGAAATTGTGTGTTGCTTAGAGACTAAAATATAACGCAATATTAAGTTATTATTTATTGCAATGCTGTATAAAATCAATATTACATTTGCACTCTTTATTCAGGACAAAAACAGCACTGGTGTGATATTGCTTAACTACATCATATGATATAAATATGAGGCAGAATCTCATACAGGGGCGTTTTTCCCCAATCTCTTGAATTTTAGGGGCATATAACTGCAGGGGCGGATGCATTAATTGCATTAAAAATTAACACAACACATTTTTTTTCCATTACTAATTAATTAGATTAATGAGTTAAATTGATAGCCCTAATATTTATTTAGAAAATATATAATAATTTTTTATTTAAAAATATATATGTATATTTTTTTTATTTATAAATTTACTTATTCTATCCTGTCAGCATCAGTCACTTTTTTTATCCCCCTAAGTTTATACTTTGCATATTTAAAGTGTCACTCACACACATACACACTCTAGAATAGAACAGAGCACAAGTCTTTAAGTATAATGACAGCCACCATCTCTGATCATCAGCATCCCTGTGTCACTGTGTGAAGCCAAACCTCTCTAGTTTTCAATGTTAAAGGGACTTTGAGGAAGGATGTGTTAAAAAAAGCCGTCAAACAGCTGAGAACTCTAAAACTGTTACTGTTAGGAACGCTACCGCCTTTGTTATTTCTGCACGTGCAAGACTCCCTCAGCTCCAGCTGTTTTTGATAACATTGTCTTGCCAAGGATTGTTTGATGTGCAAAATGCCTTTGATACCATCACAGGCTCAAAATAGCTGAATGAAACCCAACACTGTATTGCAGTTCTGTGAGAAAGGGGAACTGATGGGCTGCCTGAAAAATTACGCTCACGTCACCTGCTAATCGTGTTTGAGAGTCTGCCGCTGTACATGTCTGCACAGCAGTCTGCCTTTGTTTCGAACACTAACATTTCTTCACTAGCTTTGCACCGATTTTTCTTGTGTGTGTTGCTGCAGGTTTAATGAATGTTTACAATCGTCCCGACCAGAGCATGTGAGCGGAGCGGAGTGGGAGCCGAGCGGGGAGCGGAGTGGTAATATTTCCTTAAGAGCGCAGAGCGTCTTTCTGAAGATTCCGCTCCGCTCGCTCAATACGCTCAGCACCGCTCGCTCAACCCAGAATGCCGTTTGGTGATTTGCTTGTTCGAGATCGAGAATAGTAGAGCAGTTATGGAGTTCAGATATTGTTTCAATGAAGTTGCAAGCCTTATACATAAATGTAAAGTAAAAAATATCGTCCCGACTCACACAGGGTGTTTGTGGTCAGATCTTAATTGTTCAAATTTTGCCACAATCCCTGTAAAGGTTTTGCTCACTGTTAAATGAGGTAAAGTTTACAAAGTTATAATTGCATACGTTCAAGGGTGGTCATAGGAAATAATCATGTAGTATGTTAGGGTGTGTTCACACTTGTAGTTCGGTTCATTTGGTTCATTTGGTCCGGACCAAAAAGAAAAATGGTACATTTGGTCCTGGTCCGCTTAGCGTTCACATTGGCATTTTTGACAGCGAACCTAAAGGCACCGAATCTAAAGGCATGGTGATACGTTCACAACCTGATTGGTCGGCTTGAATGACATATATATCGTGACGGAACTTACCGAACACCCCAAACAAAAGGTTTGTTAGACTTAAAGTGGTGCTGCGGGTGTATGATATCAAAACACCCATTAACCGATCGGTCTGCTCAGCGCCGCTTTAACTCCCAGGGGTCGATGGTCGCACCGGCGCGACTAGCTTATTATTATTATTTTTTTTTAGAAGTGTTTTGTCCGTGTTGCGTTCATATTTCATTCGAACCGCACCAAAGTTCGTTTGGAAGCGGACCGAGACCCGTCTTTTTACCCATCAGCTTGTTTGGTGCACACCAAGGTTCGGATGGCAGCGTTCACACTTACTCAAACGAACCGATTTTAATCGAATCGAGCATGCCAAGTGTGTTGTTGAACCATATGTTCTCTATCACTTGCTTTCAAGATGAGTCGTCTTTGTTCATTTCATGTAGGAATTCAAGATAATTTTTTCATGACAACCAATCAGAATATATTTAATGTTAAAATACTGCTGAGTGTCAGTATTTTGGACCAATGAGATTCCACGGTGGGCGGGGCTGTTCATTTACAGCGCCTCAGAAATGGTCACCAAGCAAACAACAAAATATTCTGTGGCTTCTTACTTGTTACTTGTTACTGGTTACTGGTTAGGACAAAAATTTAGATTACTTGAGAATGAGATTTTGCTTGTGAATAACTTCTCGTAGCTTATTGCATTTCAAACTGGTATTTTGGTTGAGGATAAGAATATGTTCTAAGTCTGAATCTGCATCATTCTCTCAGTATTGCTGTCACAGTCATTTCAGGTTTATACACTGCCATTGAGAGCCATAGCTGCTCATTTTCCTCCCTCTCTTTTTCTTCTGTCACGTCATGTAACAGTACAGCAAGGAGGTGCTTCTCTGCAGTAATAACTAAAATATTCATCCTTCTTTTCTCTCTCCATCTCCTCTGTCATTTCCACAGTGCTCCTTCAGCTGGCCAGTGATGCTTTTCCCAAAGATATGACACTCGCCCTGGCCTATTTACTGGCTCTACCTCAGGTGAGTCTGACTGCTCTATTTGCAGATTCTCTCGCTCTGTGACTCTGTGTGTGTTTGTGTGTGTGTGTGTGTGTGTGCAGCAGGGCATGCTTGAGCTCTGGTGCCTCAGATTATGGTTTTTCATAACTATTTCTCTCACTGCAGCCAGAAGCATGCGGTATTGTAAGATAAAACCATTTAAAAGTCACTAAAATCTAATATGAAGTCTAATACCAGTTAGCCTCTGTCCTGTTACGTCCAGGGCCTCCATTTCAAAGTGTTATTGCATTTTCCTGATCTCGATTGGTTCATGCTCTAATTAAATCATCTGAAAAAGATCTTGATGGGCTTAAAATTGATAGCATGTCCCCATTGATGCCTCTCAGTTCATTATCAGGTGAAGGTGGGTTGAAATTGATGCGCTGTTAGTGTGGCCATTGTCTTCCTCTACTACTTTAGCCTCGATGGTCCTCATGGGTTGAGTTTCTGAGGCATCCAGTCACTCAAAGTACTCATCCTGATTATTATGAACATTACGTGTCAAATGTCCCTCATGGCCTATTTCTTTTTGACACTTTTAAAAAGTTCTTTTTTTTTTTTCAAACAGAGCAAAAAAATGGACAGCCCATCTACAGTTTTAGTTACTTTAGTACTAGGGCTGTCATGATATCAGATTTTTAACGACACGATTATTGTGGTCAAAAAGAAATTCACAATGACAATCTATAACAATATCTATAGAAATCATGAAAAAAAAAGTGTTTTGATTCTCCATGTTTCATCATACAAAATATATGTATGTGTACTATTAATTTTTATATATCACCTATACTGCCCCTAATTAACGCGATAACGATTTTTCATTATTTAAATATCACGATTATCGTCAAAATATCACGATTATCGTCAATCAAATCGTATATCACGACACCCCTATTTAGTACATTACGTTAAAATGAAAGTAAATCAGTTTGTTTTAATATTCTATTTTATTTCATATAAAAATAAATGCTTTTTTAGGGTTTTAGGTTCAGTTAACTGCAATAACAAGTGAAATCTGATTTTTGCAATCCGATCCAATTCATATATAGTTCGCCATTTGTGGTGCATTGTGTTTGTGACTTCATGCCTGGATTATGATAGTTTTGAATAAACTATTCAAATTTTAAATTTTTATGTTTTTATTCAATCTTTATGTTCTATTATTGTTTGTTTTCTAGTTTGAGTTTAAGTTTTAATTTTAGTTCATTTTAGCATTTTAGGGCTGCCAAAGTTAAAGTGGCATTTTCATGTTTATTGGGGCGAGTTGTTTAAATGTTTACAATGTACTATGTTTAAAAGTAAAACTAAAATTAATTTGAGCTAATTTTTAATTTTTAAATAATTTGTCTCCTAGTTTTTCCTAGTTATTTTGGTTTTTATTTTGGTTAACGCAAATACTTTTGTTTTTGTTAACAATAAGAATAATAACCCACAAAGTGCACAAAAATGCTAGTTTTTGCTCTTTTCACATATAACAAACTATGTAAAATTCACTATGTAGTTAATGAGTCAGTGGTTTTGAACTGCATACTTGTATATGCAATAGTGTTCCTAAAGATCAGTTTTGGAAACCAAATTAAATTAGTGTTCAGTGTGAGTGTGAACACACCTCTTTGTCTTTTCCTATTTCAGGTGTTGGATGCTAACACGTGTTTTGAGAAGCAGCCTCCATCAGCACTGTCTCTGCAGTTAGCTGCGTATTACTACTCTCTTCAGATCTACTCCCGCCTCGCACCCTGCTTTAAAGACAAGTGCAGCCCACTTTACCGAGTAAGCGTGCACCTACACTTTTCTCTATCTAGCGTTTTAGCAACTTTCCAAACACTTACACGTGTCAAGAACAGAATTCATTAGCGATACAATAAAAGTTCTCACCTTGAAACGGACCGATAAAACGGTATCAGGCTTTTCTCTCTCTTTGTTTTGCCCATTTCTCTGCACATTCCACCTCTGTTTCTTTTACACAGCTCCTATGGTGTCATTCTTTTCCTCTTTTCTTGTAATATTTCAGGTTTATCTGCATTACACATGACAGCACTTTACCGCTTCCCTGCAAATTTTTGCATCTTCTCTCTGCATGCCCCTTTTCTCATTTTTCCTTTTACTCTCTCCCTCCGTTCCATTATCATAATTCCATCTTTCATTTTCACCCTCTGTTGCACCTCAGCATATCTCCCTCCTGTTCCCCTCGTAACTCTCATTCACTCTCTCTCTCTCTGTGTTATAATGATGCATGCTCCTCTTAGTTCCCTTTAAGACTTGTTAGTTAACAATGAAGTAAAACTGTCTCGGTCTTCTCTTTTCACACCGTGCTTTCTTGACCACCGGCCTCAAAAAAACCCCTCATCATTACGATGAGCACTAGCATCCTCATCATAGGTCAGCGTTTACTGTATGTGCTAGTTGGCTAACACATCAAGGCTTGAAGTTTTCTCACGGGTTTATGATGTGAACCATGGAGTTATGAAGAATTGCAGACCTGCCAACCTGTACGCATTTAGCTTAGCGGGTACGCATTTTGACCTTAAAGTACGCTGGTATGATTTGTCACTCTAAACTATTCTAACGATTCTAAATTTCAATTTTTTAACCACTAATTTTATTTATCAAGAAATTTGATATGCTTCTATACTATACTATGCTTCTAGACTATACTAGCAAACAATTGTGTTGGATAGAACTATTTCTTCTGCTCATCGGAACACACGCAAATGCTAAAAGACAGAACCAATCAATCACAGACAGCGTTCGCTGCTGACGCATGGCTCAGTCACAGTGTTTGTTCAAATGGGGCTGCATTTCCCAAAAGCATCAGAAGCGTAAGTAGATCTTAAGAAACCATTGCCACATTATTACATTACATTACATATCATTGTTACTATATATACAATTAATTCTGAAAAATGCATCACGGTTTCCACACATATATGAAGCAGCAATAGCTTAATAATCAGAAATGTTTCTTGAGCAGCAAATTATAGGCTATTAGAGTTATTTCTGAAGGATTATGTGACTGGAGTACAAGACTGGAGTAATGATGCTGAAAATTCAGCTTTGATCACAGATGCATTTTAAATTACATTTTAAAATACATTAAAATAGAAAATAGTTATTTTAATGGTTATATTTCACAATATTGCTGTTTTACAATATTTTTGTTCAAATAAGTGCAGCCTTGGTGAGCATGAGACTCATTTAAAAAATATTACAAAATCTTACAAACCCCAAACTTTTGTCTACATGTAATATTTATTTTAAATAGGATAGTTTGGGCAAGTAAATTTATTTAAACTGGTTGTTAAAAGTTCAAATGGATTGTGTTCTGTTCTGTAATTGCTGTTAATGAATCTGCCAGAAAAAAAATATGCTAAAGTTTCACCTTTAGGAGTACAACAGCCTGGCAGCCTTTTTCAAAAATTAACCATGGTTTTATTACAGTAACCACAGTTTACCACAGTATTTGTAGTAAAATTGCAGTAACCACAAATTTACCATGGTAATGATAATAATACATTTTAGTACTTAATGTAACACGTGTAACACCATGTTTATTTTTCATGAGGTGAAGGGCTAAAATACAATTTTAGTATATTTTATTTCTGACAGCGTAAACAAAAAAAGGCCTGTGAAATGTTAAAAAACATGGCCTTAAAAATCGAATGTTAAGTGAGTATAATTACTGATTATATTCTTTTAATAATTTAATTATTGATGGCTAATGTCAAAATGCTAGACTTTGAATTTTTTTCAAAGGTTGGCAGGTCTGAAATTGTCAAAATGAGGCATATAATGATGCTTGTAATGCAAGTAAGGATTGTGTGGCACTGCTCCCAAATAGTCACATGGAAACTGCTCCTGAATAGAATTAATATCATACCTTCATGCAAATCCTTCCCAGCTAACACACAAAGTACCAGTTATGTGATTTATTGGTGTTTTAATTTTATTTCACACGTTGCATGCTCATAGTTTCTTTAGCGCTTTAGCTAAGTGATATACAGCGTGCGCCGCCACATTTGTGCATGCAATTGAAGAGAACTTGCTACAAAAACATAACGTCTGAGAGGACAGGATAGTTCGTTTTACTGAGATGAGACTTTTTATTTCGTTAGAAGTGCACAAGTCGAGTTACATTGGATGAGGATTGCAGTGCCTGTAAATGTCGACACAAACTCAGACATTACATATAAATACGGTGTCACAGCTTCCAGCTTTCATAATTTACATTTTAACAGTATCTATTAAGAAGTGGAATAGATTGTAAATACAGGTGAATTCATTTTCAATGCGTACAGAAAATGTTTTACATAATATGGCTTAGAAAAGGAGACAAATACACAAAGAAAATTATGAGTCTGAAGTGGTTTGATGATATTTTAATATTTAGACAAAGTTTCAGTGAACACTTGGCTGCTGCTGACACAAGATTGACAGTTTGAAGACATTTTTTTTTAATGAACTAGACCTGCAAGCTAATTCTGAGAACTCAAGTCTTTAAACTTTTTGCTCTTGTGAGCTTGAAACGGCCTGTGTTTGTTTCAGTCTTCACAGTTCGTTTCTGAGAGCTGTCACTTAGTTTCCAGCTCTCTGCTTAGCTACGGGCTGAATAGGTTGGATGACAAAAAAAAAAACACACAGGGAAATGTTCTTGTAATTATATCGCAGAGTGAAAAATATAAATCTGTGTTTGTTTCAGTCTTCACAGTTCGTTTCTGAGAGCTGTCACTTAGTTTCCAGCTCTCTGCTTAGCTACGGGCTGAATAGGTTGGATGACAAAAAAAAAAAACACACAGGGAAATGTTCTTGTAATTATATCGCAGAGTGAAAAATATAAAGCAGCACTGTAGCTCTGTCATATAGTTTCACAAAGATCACAGATACAAAGTCACTGTTTCTGGGAAGATCAAGTGTGCAGTATGCAAAGTGGCAGTTTTACTTGCCTAAAAATGAAAATTCTGTCATTTATTCATCATCACATTGTTCCAAACCTATATGACTTTATTTTGTTTTTTTACGGAACACAAAATAATATATTTTGAAGAACAGTGGGGTCCAACAACAATGAACCTCAAGGACATTTATATATTACTAAAAATATAGATGTTTTCCAAAATATCTTCTTTTGTATTCTGCTGAAGAAAGTAAGTCATACAGGTTTGAAAGCACATTTGAGGATGAGTAAAAGATGACAGAATTTTTATTTTTGGGTGAACTATCCCTTTAAATGTTTTGAAGGGGGACATAAAAACAAAATAAACTGTGATTTGTCAGTTTACATGTCATAGAGGTGATCTCTTCTTTTTTTGATAATTAAACTAACGTTCAAAGGTTTGGGGTCAATTTTGAAAGGATTCGGTGCTTAAACATTATTTATTTAACAGTTTTGCTGCCTAATATTTTTGTGAACTGTTTATTCCAGGATTATTTGATGAATATACAGTTGAAAAGAAGAACATTTATTAGAAATAGAAATCTTTTGTAACATTAGAGATGTCTTTACTGTGATCAATGTAATATATCTTTGCTGAAAAAAGCACAAAAAATCTTTAAACAATTTTACTGACCCCAAACTGTTGAAAAGTAGTGTAGCTGTGATAATGACCAAACTATATGGCTCAAGTCAAAAGCCAGGCTAAGTGCGCCCTGTATAAGGACAAGAAAAAAGAAACGTTAAAACACCCGTGAACTGAGATCCTGTGTCGCTGTTTCACCCTTGAGCACTGAGCAGTTAGTCCCAGGGCTGCTCCAGGTTTCTGCCAGGAGTATGCGATTAAACAAAACACCTGCTGAAAAAAAACACACTCAAATAAGGCATGCCACAAGTCTATTATTTGGTTCCATTTTATGTCCATTTAGCGGTTTCGATCGCGCCTCGGCAGGAAATAAAATAATGACAGACTCTAAAGATATATACTTTAGCTTGTTCCCTTTTTCAATATCTTTCCCATCCGAACTGGAAACTTTGAATGGCCTTCCCCTTTAAAGAGCAATACAAAAGGTAATGGAAGGAAATTATTATTTGTAGATCTTTTCAAGGTTGAAGTTCGCTGAATTCACAGCCACACGCTGCCCACATGTGCACTAAGAGTTTTTTTCTCCAAGGAAAGCTAAGGTAATAAGTGGCCAGTGTTTACTGTACACCGTATGTCAATTCACACATCCGCATGAACACACTTGTCTTAATGGATGGTAATGTACCTCTGTGAGGCGTTGGTTAAATGCTGGAGAAAATCCATTACCACTGATGGAAAGAGAAAGAATATGATGTTCTGTTTTATTTTCATCTGTTCTCTTTCCAAGTGACATTTCGCTTTGTGTTTGCTGATATTTGTTGAAGGAGACGGTCTCTTGCGGCAGACAAGCTGTACAACAGACCTCAAACGCCCCCGCCGTTTGTATCTCGTCAAATTTGCATCGTCTTTATCCATTTGTCTCTTCATTTGCCTTTTCTCTCCATCTCTCCATTTCTTTTATTGGTAATCATTTATCCTTCCTTTTCTCTTAATTTAAACCTCCTCGTTCTCTCTCACGTAACACATAATCTCTCTCTCGCCTGTCACACATCCATCCCTGTGCTTTCCTTTGCTCTCTCTGCCTTTTTTCTAAGCAGATCCCCCTCAGATATCATCACTATCACAGGCAGCACATGTACGTGTTGTTATTGAAAGTAAATAGGACCTATAGGCTGTAGGAGCGTGCAGTCGGGTCTCTGGATGAATTCTGCTCCATCTCAAACGGCACGCTGCCTTTGCATTGCAAATTAAGCCCAA